GGAACATAATAATAATAATAAGAAACAGAGTAAAAAAAGTTCCCCAACTTCTTTTGGGGGAACATAATAAAAGAATTTTCCTACCTACTTGACCCATTCTTCTCCAGGCTGATAGCAGGGAAAATAAAGAGTTTTCTCCCCATATGTACATATCTGCTGTTTTTTTTAAGTCTTTTATAGTGAGAATTCTATTTTAAAAATCAACAAGAGGCCCACTGGGCCACATTGCTCACCTGAGCACTGTGGCTAGGAAAAAGTAGAAATTGGTTTATTATTTAATAATTTAAATCCAAAGTAGTCCCAATACCAATTCTGGCTTTGCTATTCTTGATAAGATGATTTTTAAAGAATTTTCCTATATATGTCTATGAAAAACTTTGGTCGGCCATTGTGGCCCCCGCCATACCCCGGGGTTATGATTTAACAAACTTGAATCTACACTACCTGAGGATGCTTTCATATAAATATGATCAATTAGGGCTTTGTGATTCTTGAGAAGAAGATTTTTAAAGAAATTTCCTATATATTTCTATGTAAAACTTTGGTCGGCCATTGTGGCCCCGCCCTACCCCCGGGGGTCATGATTTGAACAAACTTGAATCTACACTACCTGAGGATGCTTTCATATAAATATGACCAATTATGGCTTTGTTATTCTTGAGAAGAAGATTTTTAAAGAAATTTCCTATATATTTCTATGTAAAACTTTGGTCGGCCATTGTGGCCCCGCCCTACCCCCGGGGGTCATGATTTGAACAAACTTGAATCTACACTACCTGAGGATGCTTTCATATAAATATGATCAATTAGGGCTTTGTGATTCTTGAGAAGAAGATTTTTAAAGAAATTTCCTATATATTTCTATGTAAAACTTTGGTCGGCCATTGTGGCCCCGCCCTACCCCCGGGGGTCATGATTTGAAGAAACTTGAATCTACACTACCTGAGGATGCTTTCATATAAATATGACCAATTATGGCTTTGTTATTCTTGAGAAGAAGATTTTTAAAGAATTTTCCTATATATTTCTATGTAAAACTTTGGTCGGCCATTGTGGCCCCGCCCTACCCCCGGGGGTCATGATTTGAAAAAAACTTGAATCTACACTACCTGAGGATGCTTCCATATAAATGTGATTAATTATGGCTTTGTTATTCTTGAGAAGAAGATTTTTAAAGAAATTTCCTATATATTTCTATGTAAAACTTTGGTCGGCCATTGTGGCCCCGCCCTACCCCCGGGGGTCATGATTTGAACAAACTTGAATCTACACTACCTGAGGATGCTTTCATATAAATATGACCAATTATGGCTTTGTTATTCTTGAGAAGAAGATTTTTAAAGAAATTTCCTATATATTTCTATGTAAAACTTTGGTAAGCCATTGTGGCCCCGCCCTACCCCCGGGGGTCATGATTTGAACAAACTTGAATCTACACTATCTGAGGATGCTTGCATATAAATATGATCAATAATGGCTGTGTGATTCTTGAGAAGAAGATTTTTAAAGAATTTTCCTATATATTTCTATGTAAAACTTTGGTCGGCCATTGTGGCCCCGCCCTACCCCCGGGGGTCATGATTTGAACAAACTTGAATCTACACTACCTGAGGATGTTTCCCCATAAGTTTCATCTTTCCTGGCTCAGTGGTTCTTGAGAAGAAGATTTTTAAAACATACCATCAAATTTTCATTAATTCCCAATTATCTCCCCTTGAATGAGGGCCTGGCCCCTCATTTGAACAAACTTGAATCCCCTTCACCCAAGGATGCTTTGTGGCAAGTTTGGTTGAAATCGGCCCAGCGGTTCTTGAGAAGAAGTCGAAAATGTGAAAAGTTTACAACGACGACGAAGACAACGACAACAACGACGACGACGACAGACAACGGACAAATTGTGATCAGAAAAGCTCACTTGAGCCTTTGGCTCAGGTGAGCTAAAAATGTAGTTAATAATACTGCTATCTGGCATTAACTGAAGATAACCTATACAAAATCCAATTCAAAACAAGAGTAAAATCATCCAAATTCAAACATAATAATCACTTGTATCATAACATCTTGTCAAATATACAAACTACTGAAAAAAACACTAACAATTCAGCCTGAGGAACCATTTAAAAAGTGATCAAAGTTAAGTAAAGATGTATCTAACAATGAAATCTGATAATTTGTGTCTATGTCCACACATCCTCCAGGTACCGTTTTCCAAGCCTCAGTTTGGTCACATGACCTCTGGCTTCACTGTCACTTAGGCCTCTCTTCTCTTGCAGAATTGTCATAAAAGCTTGATTCACATCTTTGGCCATATTCTTTGCATCACCACAAACATAAATCACTGCATTCCTGTTCTCTATCAAATCAAGCATTTGATCAGCATGCTTAAGAATGTTATCCTGCACATACTTAGGCTCTTCTGTAGAACTAACGCGGGAAAATGAGACAAACAGTTCGTCTAAAACACGAGCCTCCTGTAGTCTCATAAGTTCTTCCCTGAATAAGAAATCCTGAGATTGGTTCCTGCAGCCAAAGAACAGAAATGTTTCTCCAAACACTTGGTCCTCAGTTTCAGGATGGCTCATCTGCATTTCTCTGTGTTGTAGGAATCCCACAAAGGGGGCTACCCCTGTACCAGGCCCAACCAAAATAATAGGTACAGATACATCAACAGGCAAGCGGAAAAACTGATTAGACCTTGCAGAAATTTGCAACTGTAGGCCTTTTCCATTAGTCCCTTCTGATTCCTGATATCCTATATTTTGAATATCTAATGTCCTCTTATCTAACATACCCGTGCATATTCCCTGCCTTGAAAAGCTCCTACCATCTCCTTCTGGAATATTGACCACATTGAAGACAATATCTAGCTGTCCCGGTATTTTCAGTGGGGAGCTGCAGGCAGAGTATGGTCGTGGTTGTAGCTTTGGAAGTGACTCTATTAACCTCTCCACAGGAGGCTGACAGGAAGGAAATGCGTGGAGGAGATCAAGTATACTGATCTCAGGATTCCGGATAAACTTGGTGTAATCAGCCATACCCTGTTTACTACAAAGTTCTTGAAGTCTTCGCTTCTCTTTGGGGTTTGTCGTCTCTTCCACAAGCTGTCTTATCACAGACTTTTTTGGAGGTTCCCTTATATCTATATGGAAAGTGAATAAGTTTTTGAGTGTTGAGACTGTGGGGAGATGGAGTGGAATCACTGCTTTTGCCTTTTTGGTGTCTTTCATCAGCTCAATCTGACAAACACAATCAGCTTTGTCTAGAACATTCAGCCTCTTAAGTAACATTTCCACCTCTTTTTCTTCATTCTGGCAATAAACAGACACAGAATCCCCTGGTTGGTACGAAAAATCACTGTCAAGTTTTAGTCCCAATTTCAAAGTTTTCTTTATTGCATCCTGTGAAGTTAAAATATCTGCACTGATAATTGTGGCATTGGAAATGTTTGATGCAGTAGAAGTATTTAGTGGAGAAGGAGACTGGTCTACAACACTTTCTGTTGGATCATATTTAATGATGAGATATGCAGGTGAAAGCAGTGGAACTGTTACAGCACTATCACATAGTGGTTGAACTGATTTCCTGAGAGATGCTTCTGGGGTATCTTCTAGTAACACGTCTTCAAGCTTTCTTTCCAATGATTCTGTCCCATTAATTACAGATTTTACATCTAATTCTGATGTAGATACATTATGTCCATTAGAAACTTCTTGTTTCTCTTTAGAATCAACACTATCATTTGGAGGATCTCCATTTGTTGATGAATGACCGTTTGCTGTAACATTAGTCACTTCAGTTTTCTCACTTTGAACTACACCCTCTGTATTTTCTGCAAGCTTGACTGTACAATGAATACTATCACAACTTGTTTCATAGCTGCAGGGACCAGATTTGTTCAGTGAATCAAGGGATAAAAACTGTTTGAGTGCTGGAAAGAGTCCCTCAATCCATGGCTCTACTGCTTGTTCTAACCCCACTGCATCATCAGCCCAGCCACAGGGATAGAACCGCTGAGCCCCCAGTTCCTCTAATCTCTTGTCCAGGGTCTTGCCAGCATTGCAAAAATTGTATAATTAGAATCACCCAGCCCCAGAAGAGCATAATTGAGATGTGATAAGTAATCACTTGGAAGAGTTTTCTTTTTCAATCTTCTGAAAAATTTTAAAGCCGTGTCAGGCGGTTCTCCATCCCCGGTTGTGGAAGTGACGATCACAACACAGGTCTCTTTTTCCAGGGTGAATTTCTTCTCCACCTGACTAAGACAATGTCTTTCGAATTCCAGTCCATGTGTGACTGAGTTCTGTTGGATCTCCTCAGTAATAGCATCAGCCTGTCCGGTCTGGGACCCAAAAAGAAGCAAGCAACGGTTTTTCTTCTCAGGCATTTTTTACCTAAAAAATAAAAGAACTTAGTCTTTGATTAACACATCCTTGCATTTCATGAATTATAAGTTGATTTATACCTTAGTGTTTAAGAAAGGAAGCAATTTTGTTTTGTATAGATGAAAAATATATAGCTATAAATCCAGAAAATTCAGAGTAACTGAGTAAGAATGTTCAAAAGCAAAACTCTCTCACTAGTATCGTGTCGATGCTCAGTGTTAGTTACAGGGTTTAGCAAATTGAATACACCCATGAAACTGTTTTTTGTAAATTGGACTCTGTTATTGTTAATTTTTACGATTCTCCGGGTGTGTTCAATTGTTAAACTCTGCAAACACCACTGAGCACAGACTTTTAATACTGTGAGTTGATTTTGCTTTCAAACATTCATACTCTGAAGTTTCTGGATTATAGTTTTATTATTTTTTATTAGTACACAACAAAATTTCCACTTTTTTAAGTACTATTAAGAATGAAATCAAAAATTCGTGATTCAAGCATTTTAATCGTTATTGTATTGATTATGATCAATTTAAAATTAATTTGTAACTTCTTACACAATTTAGAAATATTGTCATGGATTAAAAGTGACGTTTCGCCTAGTTTCATCATGCATCATTCACACTGCCCCCCACACTTCGACACCGTGATAAGAGTAAACACTTTTAATCACTGATGAATGGATGTGGTTAAAAGAAATCGCTAACAAATATTTTGAGCTCTTGTGAAAAGTAAATTTTATGGTTATAAAAAATGAAGGAATAAGAAATGAATCAAATACCTCTTTTCAGAGTTTTTGCCACGGTAAGTTCAAGTTGGGGCTTACACAATACAGGATCTGGTAATTAAGCGACTAAAATTAAAGTCATCTACGAAAGACCCAAAACATCCCGGAAACACGAAATTAAGGATAAATGTAGATAGGGTTAAGCTGCAAGGGTAAGGGTTAGCATTAGGGTTAGGGTCGACATTAGTGTTATCAAAGTATGGTTTCAGCATTAAAAGAACATTTTTTATCTCTAAATTATTTTATTTTAGCATATTCCTCTAGAGTTTCTCTGTAGAGAGAAAACAAACATATACAGGTCTGGACGATTTCCAAATAAGGAAGACAAGAACGATAACCGTGAATTGTTATTAATACACAGAATAAACAAGGCGCTTGTCAATCTGACCAATCAGATAACAGCATTCAGACAAACCCATAAGAAAATAAATAAAACACATGGTTTTAAAGTTTTTTGCTCGCAAGATTTTTTTTAGAACAAACTTTTTGTAAACTTTAAGCGCATTTGGGAATAATATAATATTTATGACAATTCTACCGTGAACAAACACGACTTGAAAGCTAAGAATACGTTTTAAGTGGGATAAAAAATCTGTCACTATGAAGTATAGCTATGGCACGCCAAATTCAGAAAAATGAGCTAATCATAGTTTCACAGTCGATAAACTAGGTTTATCGGTTGTAAACTATAGTTTACGGACTGTAAACTATAGTTAACAACGTTAATCTATATTTTACATCTGTAAACCATAGTTAACGCGATAATCTAACCGAAAACGATCAATTGCGATTGCAAAACATAGATTATCTGATAAATACAGTCTCACGATTTGCAAACTATAGTTTACAAACCGTTAACTATAGTTAACGATCTGATAGATACAGTTTCACGATTTGTGAAACTATGATTAACAACTCTTAACTTTAGTTTACGATTGTAAACTATAGTTTACAAACGCGAATCTATGTTTATCAACAAAATCTATTGTTAACGCTTTATTCAGACAGATAAACTTAGATTAACATTCGTAAACTATATTTAACGACCGTTAAATATAGTTTTACAAATGAAAATTATACTTACCGAATCGTTAACTATACTTACGAATCGTTAACTATAGTTTACGGTTTGTAAACTATAGTTTACAGTCGATAAACCTAGTTTATCAATTGTGAATGATGTTCTAAATAATTAAATGATATTGTTATGTAATTAACCCATGTTTATTGTATTTACCGTGAACAACCTTGACATTTTTATCTCGGTAAAGAAAAAAAAATGCATGATAGAATGTAATCGTTTAGTACGGAGGTATAGATTGCACCAGCAAGTTACTATCAAGTTCAGTTATAACATTTACCAGAATATATTATATGTTGGTAAATATAATTTTGCTTATCCGTCCGATTTTCATCGATAATGCTTAAATTCCACGTGTATAGATCAACTCACACAAGTTTATCGTATGGACTATACACATATTATGGTTTTAAATTATCACAGGTTTCATGTGCGCCGAATACAATGCTATGCAGACTATAAATATAATACCCATTATTTAAATTATCATGGTTCCATATTTTCATACAAAGATACACAGTAAATGTTCTATCAAGACTGTTTTTCCTCAACATCGAAATATTAAAAGCAGTGCAGTAGAAACTTCCAGAGAACTGTCGCAAAAACATAGTCGAGAATTAAGTGGTGTAAATCAGATTTGGATACTATAAAACTCTAAGAAACTTTTCGAAAATTGAAATGAAAAAATAACCATTTAATAAAAACATAAAAAGCTAAGACTTCGACACTCTATACAACTATTCCTCCCGATAAGATTTATAGATTTAGGTTTCTTGACATCATAGACAGCTGCTCATTAAATAAAATTGGAACTCGTAAATTAAATTAACTTGACATTGGTCATTTGCTAAATTATATTTTGTAAAAACATTACCCACAAGTACTTTGAAGATGATTTTGAAAACATGCTTGAGTTTCTGAATGACAATATCTACATGTATGTGGTTTTGGAGATCAGTCTATATAGGTACCAATCCTGCCCCGTAATTAGCAGACCTATTTTTGTATTCATAGATAGGATTAGGGGGCATAATTCATTCAAAATCTTATATACCAGTTTGAGAAGAAGAGAACTCTAGCTTTAGCCTGAACACCTTGTCATTTAGATATACCGACGACGCATTATCAATCCATTCATATGTCGACACGATATATCCCAGTGAGCTTGCAATTAGGGATACCACAGAGTATGACACATCTGTTTCATATTTGGATAATTTACTAGAAAAAGACTTCAAAGGTAATCTAACAACCAAGCTTTATGAAAAACACGATGACTTTAATTTCTATCGTCAACCTCCCTTACCTATGCAGTAAATAGCTGCAGAACTGTAGCTCTCCAAAAAATATATATTGACAGACCGGTCTGTCAATATACTAGTATATATTTTTCGGAGAGCTACAGTTCTGCAGCTATGCAGTAATATACCCGTCACACCTACATATGGGGTTTATATATCTCAGTTGATTTAATACGGGACAGCATTGATTATCTACGTGTGAATATTTTCTAAAACGAGGTAAATTATTGACAAACAAGTTGATGAAACACGGATATCAACACTCTCACATAAGTCATCATTTCTTAAGTTCTATGGTCGAAACAATGACCTTGTCATCAAAGTAATACGATCCAAATGCTGACAGTTTTTCATGCCAATTTTTAGACCATCATTTACACACCGAATTGTCGATGGATTTTTCCAACGGGTAACCCTTTTCCAACATTAGCAAATTTAAGTGCATATTTCTTGTCGCGAGGATGCGAGCCAAAGAACATTAACACAGTCATAATAATAATTTGTTTGAGGTGCATTGTGGGTAGTGTACAGAGATTTGCTTCGAAAAAAAAAATATTGTATTTGACTGGGATGTCACAATAGCCCACAGCTCGATATTAATTCAAAATGTTGCTGTTTTTTTCGGCAGCTGGTATTGTTGACAGTGAGTACGAAGTAAGAGTATTTATAAATAAGATATTTAATTTCTTAAAAGCTAAAAAAAGGACCGTTCTCAAAATAATATGGGACTGGTCATTTTGTTAGCAAATGGCTATTGTCTCTCTACGTACCTTTTAAAAACAGTATACTAAATGCATCTCGTTTAAAATAATTCAGCTCAAGACATATTCCATTTTTGTATGAGATACAACAAACCAATAGTAAATTTCAACATTCATAAAATAAATTTATTATATAATACATTCAAGTGTTTATCTTCAAAGTTGAAAACATACATTCATAGTTCTATAATTTGATATCAGTACCTACACGGACGTATAAGTATATCAAACAAGATAGTCTTGCTATATATTTCGTAACTTGAGGGATTAAGGTCCAGTTACTTACACAGGAAAGAGATGGTATTAAAGAAACTGTAGAAGACCTTCAATGGAGGTCCATGAAGAATAATTTAGTGTTCACTGGTCTGGGAGGGGAGTCCAACAAAGAAAATACAGAAGAGAACCTGAGAGACTTCTTATATTATGAGCTAGGCATAGAGCATAATATTCAATTTGGAAGTGTACACAGATTTGGAAAATTTGAGCGAGGAAAAAACAGACCCATAGTTGCCCGATTTCTATACCAAAGCGAACGTCAGCTTGTGAAAGAAAATGCATACATGTTAAAAGGACAGCCTTTTGGCATACATGAACAATTTCCTCCAACAATGGTAGAGAGACGTAAGAAGTTACTGGCGGTCCAACACAGACTCCGCAATGAAGGCCACAG